GTACGTCATCTCCTTAAAAAGCCAAAAGTAAGATGACTAAAAGCTATCTCCGGTGGTCCCCACACATGTGGACAAAGTCTCCAAAATTACTTCTTCTTCCAAGTCTCTCTACGTTGCTTTCTTTGAAGAGCCCAAATGACCAAATATCTTTCACTAGCTTTGTGGTCCCCCACCAATTCAAGGGCCCAAGGTTTGAATCCCTTAGAAGTCTCCATATTCTCTATAAAGTCCCTCCTTTTTGGTAGTTTTCTGCTTCATTCCCTATCAAATGGGATGCGTGCTTTCTAGTATCAACTAAGAAACTTGTATCAAGATTTTCTTAATGGAATTTCCTCAATTAGGCTTCGATTTCTCCTTTTCTGCCTCAATTAACTTGAAGTTCCTAGAAATCACACAAAAATTCAATTATAAGTAGAATCTAGCAAATTATCACAACATTTGGTCAAAATAAAGGGGAAAATATTAACAAATAAACTGGCTAATTTGCGCATTAACACTCCACCAGCATGTTGGTTGAAGAGCCTAAATTTCTGCAGTATCCTTTAATCGAGCCCTAGAGACGTCTTTGATTAAACCTCCAGATCCAATAGGACCTGGATTTCCTAAAGCTGATCCGTCTGTGTTGAGCTTGAACCAATGAAGGATTTGGGGAATCCATCTGATAAGAATTTGGGATTTTTTGCGAGGGGGTCAAGTGGTGTGTTTACTTGATAATAAACGGTACCCGTCGGTTCGAACCGATTTTTCTTAAATCGTGTATACTAGGGTTTTCACTTATAATTCACTAATTTATTATTATCACTTCTAATCACACACTTAATATCATCTAAAACTCACTCTTAATCACCAAATTTAGTGCACACATCTCACTGAGTGAGCACACGGTCAAAATACGCAAAAAGTCCTAATTTACCCGAAAGAAGAACCTAAAGGGAAAACCCTTGATTCTATGGTGGATTCTAATTACTTACTTGAAAGTTGACGGAGTGTCAACTATTACTTGATCAAGCTCTAGTGATGCAATGAGAATTTGGCTCCAGAGAGCCATCCGTATTCTTATACTTTGGAATGATTAGTACTTATCGTGTTATTGTTTCGTTTTTAAAAGAAACCTTTGCACTCGCTCATTTTGACATTTACTACTTGAAGTGTTATTGTTCACTTTTATGAACTTTTCATGCTCATTACTTTGCTACGTAATACTTGCACGTTTAAATAATGGTCAACTTGCTATTTGAAACATCACTGGGCTTTTAGCTCATTCCACGTCATTTGTTTTCCTTACAGGGGGTACGAGCGAGGCGTGAGACGTGTACAGACTAGTATAGTCTAGTTGTTTTGAATTTTGAATCTGTACTCACGCTAGTACCCGACTAGGGTTGATTGTACTCGAATTGTAAACACTTTGAAGTATCTTGGTGCGTAGAAGTTTTGTATCTGGATTTGAGCATCAATGTATATATTAAGTTGAAATGGGTGTGTTATTTATTTTCTATAGATGTACGTTATTTTTCTTGAGTTATGAGTGACCTGGCGAGAGCTGGACAGGCGGTCCGCCGAACCCTTTGGTTCACTTTAGGGGAAGGTGGGACTGTCACAGGGATGGTTAGATTTTGGGCCAAGGGAGTAGAATTCAATAGCCAACTTAATGCTGGTTTTTGTTGGTGGATGTTGTGGTTTGTTGGGCTCAAAAATCTTCTTATTCCTAGAGTGCCCCAAGAAATATTGTAGTAAGGGGAGGGCGTGGAAATTTTACATCCTTCCCTAAGCCAGATATGAGAAGGAATGAGTATAGTAGATAGGTAATAGTTGCGATTGAGTTCCATCCAAACAGATTGGGCGTGGACACATTTTACGCAAGACGTGATTAATATCCTCTACCTGTCCTGGGCAGAAAGGGCAGATATTGTCAGGAATGATGTTTCTGTTGTGAACGAGATGCCTTGTAGCAAGTGTATCTTGTGAAGCTAACCAGAAGAAAAGTTTGGTTTGATGAGGCGTGTGAGTAGTCCAAATCCAAGTGAAAGATTGGTTTTCCCGTCTATTTCGTTTGTCAAGTGAATTTTTTGGATGTTTATTTAAAACTTTACTGTAACTTACTGTAGATGTTTTTTAAATAATTTTTGAATTGTGTTTTTTTTTTTGAAATATTTTGAAGTATATAGTTTAAAAATTTTGAAAAGTTTTTTGAGGTTACTGTAACTAAAATTTTTAAAAAACTTGTAACAGACAAACTTGGTAAAAAACTTGTCTTCCAAACAAGGCCAAATTTGGCTCTCTCCATAGTTGAAAAAAATTCTAGCATAACATCTAATAAATCCTCATGGTACGAGCATACGCGCAACAAGAAGTCTTTTATTTTTTATTTTCCAAAAAAAAAAAAAAAAGATCTGGAAAGACAGGAACAGTCCCAATAAATGGGTACGCCAAAGCCAGGCTTGGTGGGATTGGTACGTTATTGGTCCTGGTACGCAGTCGTGTTATGTACATTACGGGTGCTGGACTAAATTACCTACTAGTGGTTTAATCTTCTTCTAGCTAATTTACATTGCAAAATATCTGCAAGTTAAAATTCACTGACTATTCCCAGCTTCCTTTCCTATTCAGCCAGTTAACGTAGAAATAGTTATAATTGTAGCGGGCCGGCGACCAGCAGCGTCGTCGGGAAGCAAATTGATTCATTTGACAAGAATTGATATCTCACAAAAAGTTGTGTATGAGAGTAGCGATCTATAAGAAATCCTGTATATTAATATGACCTAAGGTTTTGAAAGTTTCCCTCAACATATAGTTTCGTGGAAAAAAAAAGACTCATCCCTTTTTTCTATTAGCTTTTCTTCTCCATGCTTCAATTTTTTCAATATCTACCGTTGATAAGAGACGAGACATAAAAATTAGTTAATGAAAACCCATTAAAACAAAAGTCCCAGGCAAACGGCAAAAAATAGAATGAAAAAATAAACAAATTTTTAAGAAAAGGGCTTTTTTTTTAATTTTTAAAAAAAAGGAGAGGAAGAGGAGGGGAATAAATGTAAAAACCGAGGTACCTCACCTCCCATCTCAGCGGACAAAACCCGGTACTTAAAAAGAAGGTGGGGAATTGTTTTATTTGTGGTGTTTTCTGTTATTGCTAGATATGAACGGGGTACATTAAATTATTTATTAAGATAGCCGGAAGCACCTATCATATCAAACTCAAGATTAAGAAAGATTTGTATAGATATTAACGAGGTAAATATGTTCCAAACCTCATAAAAAAGAGCTCTTTGTGACGACCCATTGGGTATAGGACCAAAAGGGCAGCTCTAAAATCTCCCCTAAACCATGATCACTCAAGAGGAACTAAAGTAACTAACGACAATAATACCTAAAGATACAAAAATTTCCTGAACAAAATATCTTCCTCAGTTGATTTCTAGAAATTTAAGAACAACGTGCGACGTAAATCAGCAATAGCATTTACTTCCACGGGAACATTTAGAGGCCAACTATAGACTCACACAACACATGTGGTTGGAAGTAAAAAGGCCGGAGAAAATAGCAAATTCAACTCTTGGGACGTGAACCAAGCGAGGATTCAAGGCCAGTACCTTGGACAAACGAAACAAAGGCAAATTAACAAACATCTAACGTGCACGCACCTGTAGCATCTGATCACAAAAATCGTGTTTGCATATGAAATCTTATGATGAAAATTGAGAGTGGGAAAATTGTACTATAAAAGTGTAATCAACTAACAGAAGAAAGTAGATTTCCCGTGGCCTCTTTTAATTTGATGAAATTGCTAGAAGAAATATTGGTAAGAGTTACGCAGCACTAAAAAGAACAAAAGCACTGCTAATTTAATAGTAGCGGTACACAACCGAAACATGCAACGGCAAAAGCCTGGCGTCAATATCCGAAGACCTACTGTTAAAAATAAATAAATACAACCCATGCGGCGTGCTAATCAAAAGAGTCTTCAGCCATCTCATCCATGCTGAAATCGTACAAGGCGCTAGATTAAAGGATTAAGATTTGGACAAATCTTCCAATCCAGCCAAATTAAAAGCAGTAGTATAAAAACATGGATGAATCTCAGAATTAAACTATGAACAAAGCTCAATCGATATGAAAGTTTTGAACTTTATCAGCATACCAACGTAAGCTAATTTAATGGAGACTGAGAGAGAGAGCATACATTACATTACGCGGTAACTTACAAGTCTGCTGTTGGACCATAAATCCCACCAACTAATGCGACAAACAAAATCGAGAATGTTAATTTATTTATTAGCAAGTGTCTTTTGCGTTTGTCTGATCGATCTGCATGTATGGCCGTCGGTTCTTTGTCCATTATCTGGGCAAAGGGCAGGCTAACTTCTCGAGAATCTACGCATTCTTTATTGCAATTTGCACTGCAGGCGTCATTTGACAGGCACCCTCAGAAAAGAATAACAACGAGATGATTTGTACAGGGAATGATGCCGATGATGATGATGCTGTCTCGTGGGCTAATCTCAATCATAGACACATTCTTTATTTGTTTAATGTCGTAATCCTGTACACAATTATTTTTTGGTCCCTGATTGTGATTGCACAACTAAATAACATGCGTTCTGGGGACTTGAGATTTATCTCTACAAAACATGATTTGCTTCCCTGGAAAAATAGTTAATTTAAAAAATAAAAAATAAAAAACCAGAAGAAGAAAATTAGCGCGGCCAATTGGAGATGAAGTTCAAGTAAGGTTATGAGATGCTCGATCGAAATAACTATTAATCCTCAAAGAATTTTGTGTTGCTTCCGCATGACAAACGATAAATAACAGAAGAAGAAAACCATTACCACCTATAATAAAAGACAGAAAAATACATAAAGAAAAAGATCTTTGGCGACATGGTTAACGCTCAAAGGTACAAGGGATGATTTAATTAGGTCTCTCTACATGACGCGCAGGAAGTGTCTTTCAAGTGCACGAGAGACCTAACCAAACCAAAGCAAAGCAAAGAGTATACAGATTAAACGTCATTCAAGGCAAGCGATCTGGGGGAAGGGAGAAGGTGATAGGAACTGTAGGTCTTGGAAAAGCTGCATCTTGGATGAATCTCATCGCAGTCCATTTCCACCAACACCTTGACGAAATGATCAACATCACAAGGAAGTTCGAGAGGGCCATCATTAGTGTAACCATACTCTGATTCAGCTTCTTCAAGCAACATCTTGAGAAGAGGATGGTTTAAACACTCAGTTTTGATCACGAACCTTTGTTTCTGGGCTCCAACGTACACCGAAAAGCAGCCCTCAGGTGCAACTCGACGGTTTTTAGCACGCTTTGGATCCGCTTCTCGGGTTGAAGCTGCAGCAGAACCTGTCCACGACTTGCTCTTAAGCTTGGCTGCATGTCGACGTCTTGATGACCCAATACCACCGAAAGACCTGCATCGCTCCCAAGTCTTGAGGATGAGGCCCTTCTTTCCCTTCGCCTCAATCAAATCCATTTCTTGAACAACAAGATCAATGATATTTTGCTGCAAACTGGCTTAACTAGTAGTACAAGAACAATATAAGCCTCAGTCCTCAGTCTTATACTACCCTCTGTCGTAAACCAAATTAAACATAACCTTCATCCTTGGCCTCATGGTGTTACTCATGGTCTCATGAAAACTGGGGCAACTTAGGCTGAAACATGCACACCAAGTTGAGTGATCGGCAAAAAGGGAGTTGTAGTTGTACAAGTAAGAATATACACTGGGCCACTGGGATCAACTATCAAAGAAAGTAACTGGGAGAAAATTTTAGATGAAACGAGAATCACAAGAACTCCAGAAGATAATACGATAAAAAGGGGAAGAAAACAGTAAAGAACCTCACGGGGTAAGCTCTTACTTGCGTTGCGTCTGCTATAGGTTAACACACACCACTCAGGATTATACGTGGTCCTTATATAGTATAGAATTCACAACCAGAGATACAAAAATTATGAATGGTTCTTGCAAGTTATCCTACTTGTCAACTCTTGAATGACCTCTTCCATTGAATTATTGCCCCTCTTATTTATCCTTACAATGACGCGAAGAGGCCAGCTTCTCTGAATTAAGAAACTGAGGAAGCGGACAAATTAATAGAAGTATCAGTACCTTTCTAGTTGTAGTTTTCAAATTTTTTTCCACGTTCATTTAACTAATCACATAGTTAATAGTGCAACCAGGAACACTACTAGTGCTTACAATCAATTAAAGTGATGGGAAGATTAAAATTACCAATTTGAGCCACCAGCCTATCCTATCATATCCTAAATGCTGTCTGGCAAATTAAGCTGGAAAATTCCATTAATCCTATGATGCAAGGGTTGACTAATTAACAAGTTTGTGGAAGACTTTTATTCTTTGTATGTGATGATTACCGGAAGGCCAATACTAATTAGCCAGGAAAAAGCAAAAATAACCCTCAACAAAACTAATATATAACTCCACATACTTAACATTAAATTTTTTTTTTCTTAACAGAGAAAGAATGGAATTTTAAAAGCAAGGAAGGGGTAAGGAGATTAGAACCAAAAACATCGAAGTTCTGCATAACTAAAAGAAACAGCGATCGAATTACAATTCTTGACGTCAGAGTTGAAGTTTAACGACCAAATCTTTTTTTTTTTTTCAATCTTTTATTCAGTTGCCTTCATTTTCATCTCTTTGATTTTTCTACTATCAGATTATTCTGTTTCATATATTATCTCGTTATCCGCAACAAGTGTTTCAAATAAGGGTTGTATTGCATGGACTACAGCTTGCGAAAAGTAAACTCTTAAAATTGTCAACTACCTGACTCATACCATTTAATTGACCAAATATTTTCTCTCTTTCTCTATCTATATGTTTGTTTCCTTTACCCTAATGTTTTCTCTTGTTTTAATTTTGGTTGCCAACGGATTGGCATTCACTCGCAAGCATCTTTTCATAATTTGTTACCATGGAAGGATTGTTATTCATCCGTGATCTGTGCATGCCCCAGCTGCTGCCACAGTAAATCTGTAACCAGAGTATTAATTACCAGAAACCAGGCTGGTGTCTCCCAGGGCAGGAGTAAGTGAAAGTCTGTGAATTATTCTGGTCCAGAGCATATTATTTCCAGCAGCCGAATGAAGATATAGCATCTATTTGCGTAATGAAACAAAATGCAGTCTGCTTCCAAATTGACCACATAGTTTTGACATTAGATTCATTCGTATTTCCTCCTTTAGTTCTGTGAAAAGACATTTTATTTTCTCCTTTAGTTTATAAAATATCATCAAGCGCCATCCTATCCTAGTTTGACAAACATTGAAAGTTACACTTTTTTTCTACTAACATCGGTCTCCAAACAGTTCATGTATCTTGATGTTCTAAAGTGCCTTTAGAACTTGCTATATCCCACCTAATCACATGATATTTTACAAACAGGATTAGAAATAATAATCAATTAACTTTTTCTTTCCCATCATTCATGGTTGAATACAAAACCGATATTTTATTTATGGATGAACAATAATACAATAAGGTCGAATTTTTTTATTTTTATTTTTTTAGAAAAAGGCATATCAGACATAACAATAATGTTATGTACTACCGTGAAAGTTAAAGGCAAGGCCTGCCTGCCACTAGTATGATCTACTTGTTTTACGTGATAAAAGTGCATCATAACCCAAAACCTAGTTAATCAAAAAATTTCCCCATCAACTATCGCTGGAGAAAATTAAATCAGAGAATTGACACATATGAATTTGACCTAAATCGAATTAGGTTGAGGAACTCACCAGCTGCAATATGCCACCGATCATTGATGTGTTGACGTTGATACACAGTACTCCCACAAGTAGAGGTGATCAGATCCTGGAACGAAAGACCTGACTTAATTACACCTCCCCCGCTTGTCACCACTGGATCAAATGACCATTCATTGGCCGTTGATAAGATTGCTTGTCACGGTGATCGCAATTAAGAACTGATTCGAGTAATTAATTAGTTACGGTTCATCTGGAACCAATTGTATTGCAAACTATTACTCTAAACTGAATGGCTGGTGATATTGCAGAGCAAAAATTAGGATCCAGACCAAAATTCTGTTCATGAGGCAACTTTGCCCTTACTTAAAGTTTTGCAAATAAATTTCAATTTTTTGGGGGTCTCAAATGAAACTCTCCTAAATTTTTTAATTCCTCCTCCTGGTTTCACCAATTTATCAATCAATCATCCCTTGTCTATTCTCTACCCCACAATGTTTTACCATCTTCATTCTCCTTACCCCCAAACAACTAAGCCACTAACACCCCAACTAGCAACTCAAGCACCTAATCAAAACCCAAAAGAACCTCGTGATTTGATTCTTCCTCTCGCACCTACTGGTGACTCTGTCAACATCCTCCAATACTGTAGATCACTTCTGTTTCTTTTCTCATCTTCTGGAATTAAAATCAATGATCATGAAGAAAGAACAAATAAATGGGTTTTAGAAGACATCTATTTTTTTCCCCCAAGTATTTAATCACCCTTTTATTTGTTGAACTTTTTATATTATTTGGTTGGAAAAAGAGTCAAAGGGGAAGTTTGTCAATTTCAATTAGGGAAGATTAAGCTTTTGTTGAATTTTTTAGGTGAAACTGGGTTGGAGGTTAATGTTTGCGGCAATGATAGCGGCTTTATTGTTGTGGTGATCATGATGATCAAGAATCTACAAAATTTTTTTAGTTGGGAACAAGAAAAGGAAAAAAAGGTTTGTCATGGGTTATGGAGGATTTAGTTGAAGTAATAATTCTTAATATAAAGAAGGGCAAATTGTCTCATAAAGTGAAATTTGCTCTGATCCTATTTTTTGCTCTAGGAGTGCATCTGCCAAACTGAACATATAAATTCGACTCGCAGCTCTTAATTAGAAGATTTTTTTTTTTACTTTTATTTGGGTAAGTTAAATGTCCCAAATCCTATACCTTTTACTTACACTCCTTCCCCAGGATCACCCAACCTATCCTTTCCCCCACTCTTAGAGGATTTTTTTTTTAAGTGTAAATGAAAGGTCTTGAACACAGGCTTCTCATTTACACTTTCTTCCCTCTATACCACTCAATACATCCCTCCCCCACTCTTAGAAGATTTTGATGCACAATTCTTATGAATTATAGATGATTTATTTTTAAAGCTGGATCCTTAAATTATTGAACACCATCTCAAGTTTTCCAGAATTATATGCAGCTTCCCAAACTCTTATTATACGTATCTTTTACCCCTCTCCTTGTTAATATCCCGGCGACTCCCCAAAAAAAGGTTAATATCATGGTGAATATTACTAGTGTTTTAGGCATACTCTATATGCATGCTTAATTTAAAAAATGCATATTTTTGTTTGTGTTGAAAATTATATATATATATATATAGTATATTACAATAGGTAATTAAATTAAAAATATCTTGGTAGAGGATGAAATGGAAGTCTGCGATTTTAAAACTTTAAAAAAATTCATGGAAAGGATGGAGCGAAGTTTAAAGTTTTAAAATTCAAGTGAAATAATAATAAATATGGGATCATACAAAATAACAACAATTGTTAGCACTGCAAGCATGCTCTCCATTTATATATATGCATGTAGTATAGATTTACAGTCTTATAAATATGATTAATTTTTGTTACACTGACAATATAAAAAAGCTTACTCTAAATAGGACAAAAGAAATTATGTGACATAATCGAAACCTACTAGTATAGAACAAGTTGTATACTGAAAATGTATAAAAGGCTTACTCAAATTGATAAAGATACCCTCATTCATTACCAGGCTAACGATACTACTCTCCTTCCAGTTCCTAACTTCTCGTACTCCTTGGTAGCCATCGACTTTCTCAACCAGTCCCTCTTGTAAAAATCTATACGAAATTTCTAAATCTCTGAACAACCAAAATTTTCCTCACCTTACTTTACTTTCTTTCCTTTTTTATTGATGCCCTTACAACCATAAGGGTTTTGAAGCTCACTTGTCACGTGACAATCTTTTTATCTTTTCCATTCTTTCTATGTTTACAGCCAAAAATCAAATATATGTGAGACTAAATGTATTACAAATGGGTCATTCTATTGCAAAAGTTTAATGCTTAAGGAAGTTTTGCCCGTCGGATTTCTCGATCCTCTTCCGCCTGAAGAACGTCTTGCCATGCAACAACAACAAGAAGCTGCTGCTGCCCCAACTAGTCATCATCATCATCCTCATAATGGGCGCCGTACTGTTTATCCTTTGATGTCTCCTCTTGATCATCCGGCGAAGGAGGAGCCATTGGCTTTGGTGCACGTGGATGATGATCACAACAAGGCTTCCATTGTTGGTCCCGTATTTCGGAATGAAAGGAGGACCAGTAGTTGCGTTAAGCAGTTTTGGAAAGCTGGTGATTGTTATGATGCCAACATTTCTGCTTCAGAAACCTGTACCATACTACTTAATAACTAATAATGGATGGAAGTTTTGGATGTATTTCCTATT